ATCGTAACGATAACAACTGAAAACAGAGATTCCATTTTCTTCCATTAACAGCCTGATGAGTCTGACATAGAACGGATAGAACATTCTACTTAACCGAGTTCTCTATTATTCGACCAATTTATTTCCACGAAAGACGATTGAGTTTCAAAAAAAATCGATCGAAAGCAAAGACGCTTCTTATATTCAACGAGATTTATCGCCTCGACGTCTGACCCGAAACGACCACTTTGTACTCAACCAGCTTCTCCATTTTCCAATGAAATGGGTGTTTTCACGAGAGACACAGAAGAATGGATGAAGATTCTTTTCTAATCAACGATAACGATATCAAACGGAAGCAGAGACTCTTCTTTCTTATACTCGTCGAAACGAATGAAAGCCGATCAACGGTATTCAGCGTCGGTGACTTGCGACGCGCGAAAAACAAAACACCTTTCAAACTCGCCACGGCAAACGCGTCTGTTGCCGAAGGTAATCGTATCCACGGCGGCTCGCAATTAAAGGGATACTTGTAAATTGCACGTGCAAGCCTTCCCACACGAGCCGCTTACACCGTCCTCTTCATTTTTTCATTATCTCCCTTATTTGCGACCGCAATCCACCTTCCAACGCTAACCGTACATTTATCATGCATCGCATGCGGACCTCACCGAGGTTCAAGGCTCCGCGGATGCCTGTCCACCGAGAAAATGAGAAATCCTGTCGAGATATTAACGTCGACGTAAATAGAGCGTAATTACAGCCGAGTGAATCAATGAGAGAGAGAGAGAGAGAGAGAGAGAGAGAGAGAGAACGTCGATCATAAAACATGGCCCTTGTTTGGAACTATTAATAAATAACAGCTATCCTTAAACGATTTGTTGCATAAAGTAGCTCAATGTAAAACTAATTGAATTTCCTTCCTCGAAGCATGAATCTGTTGTTGATATCGTTGTCGATGTTCTCTCCACGCTATCGATGTTTCCCACTTTCCTGAGAATTTATTAATGGCGATTCCTCTATTCTGAATAATAGTTATACAACGTGGCAGGTGTCGGTTACTATTCAGGTTAATTAAAGGACATTGAAAACAGCGGCGTTCTCGAGGAGATCGTTTAGTATAATCGTAATTGCAGCCGGTGCCACAGCAGTGGCAGCGTTGAATAGATTCGTTCTTTACAAGGAGAACATCATTGAATAATAGCGTGAGTCAGTGCGCGGGATTTTTCTTTTGTCGATGGAAAATCGGCTTTTAATCGGAATTCTGGAATCTTTCAAGGTCGTGATTCAATTAAATCTCCGATCGTTTAAGTCTCGTTAATAATGGAAAGTATGCCGCCACAGATTCCTTGTTACGAGAAATCATGCTTTTTAATCACTTTTGTCATTTTATCGCATCGCGTACGACATTCTATCTTGAAATTTATACGGATGTGGCAAGTTGGACGAGAAAGGGAACTGCGAAAGCCTTAAGCGATTCGTCGATTAAGCAACGAGCGAAATAACGCGCTCCAGCTTTCTTGGCGTCGCGATTCATTTTTAATCGGCCTCTCGTTGCACCTGACAATGAAATAAACTCGTCGACGCGAGAAAAACTCCACTCTCCGGCTCGTGAACCGTGTCTGGTGGAATGTCCTTCGCGGATACCTAGTTTTTATCGCGAACCCGGGAAGAATGGATCGTTAAAGCGAGTGAAAAAGCATCGCGTGCATCCGTATCTTGTGCATAATGCATTTTACTTATTGCACCTTGCGACTCTGTATTCTGTTCAGAGTTACGTACCCCATATAATATCATGATCAATTGAAGGAACACGAGTGACGACAGGTACACGAAAGCGAAATTCGCCGACGCTTTTTAACCCTCTCGCTGCGGAACTTTTCGAGCTGCAAGTATCTTTGATATTCGAAGCAATTTTTCTTTGCACAAAGGTGAATATGCGCGCGAATGTTTACATTACGACTTGTATAACTTGTTATGGTGTAATGCCATGGTGTAGGGGATTGGAAAAAGAAGTTTAAGAATTTATGAGATCGTAACACTATTATCGAGAACTGTCAATTAATACGACGGAGTACTTTGATTAAATCTTCTTGATCGTCTGACTTTTGAATTGTTTGAACTTCCTACTATGCAAACACCTCAAATTTGACTCCATTTATCATCCGTAAATAGCAGAATAGACTTATGACAACGAATAGAAAATATACAGTCAGAAACGAAAACAAATGACAGGTAGAGGAAATACGTATCGATGAAGTTTCGTTAAATACAGCTTGTTTGAAATAAGGATAAAAAGATTAATTAGAATTATTTCCCAAAATAATCTATGTATCGTAAGGATATACAATAAATAAATCTTTAAGTACATAATGTTGATACTATTTCGATTAAACTCCACTGATGTCTATGTACTTCCACCATATGTTCGCTTAACTTTGTCCCAGACTTTGTATCGTACGCGAAAAGGAAATGTAAAATCTGGCAGAAAAATGTTTCATTCCAAAGGTAAAGAAGAACGTGAATGCGTTTTGTAGCCACGTTACGTATATATATATAGAAATCTTAATAGCGAAAGGGATAACTCAAGCTGAAAATTCAAGAACGCGCGTAACCTTCGTAATATGCACTCGATGATTATCTTACGAAGCACACGTCGTATTAATCGCTTCCTTCTTATCTATATTCAATAGCTCTTAGCCGATTACTCTAGGTCCAAAAATATTTTTTGGCAGCCTTGCTAAAACGCTCCATTTACGGGTACGCGAAGACCATGACGAAGCAATGTCGGGGACAAGCTGCAAGTTGCATCGTAGTGTGGTATCCGTACGAATGATTCAATGCCAAGATCGACGAATCGGTTCCCAACTGGTTAAGCGGAATGCATGGCCGATCCAAAAACAGCTCGCGATTTTCGGCTAACCGATGCGATGAGAATCGTTAATCGAGCTGAGAATTTTCGGCCAGCACACGTTCGTTCACTCGACACGTTGTAACTTTGTAAATCGTGTCAGCTAACCCGGTAAAACAGTTACGTGACTCTAGCGATTGTATAAAGCGCACGATGCCGATTTTCGACGATTTCGAACGAGCGTGCGATTATTAGGAAAGAAATCTGTGATTCTGATCTTCGACGATCTTTCAATCATTTTAAACGATCAACGTGTTTTTGTTTTCATTTTATATCGCTTTTATCGTCGACAAATTTCTTTAGTTTAAATTCCCGTTTCCGTAAATAGCAGTTTCCTGTTTAATTTTCCGTTTCCAGCGCACAGTGCTATTTCTCAAAACATTAAAGAATTCTTTTATTTATTAAACCAAGTGCAAAGATCTGATAAGAGAGGCAGGAAACTAAAATATTATAATTAGTCTGCGGATATTTATGCGGATTCATATTTTTTTACAAAGACTCTAAAAAGAAGCTAAGTAGATCTTTGTTTCATCTACATATAGTAATAGATGCAAAATTTGCATCTCTGTATATTGTTGCGCATTATACGCATTTTTGCATTTTTGAATGTCCCATAAGTGCATAAATATTCGCAAACTAATTATCATTATCTAACAAGTGCGTGAGAACAAGTTTGGGAACTGAAAGATTTTGCATAAGTTTCGATGTTAAAATATGGAAAGCACAGTCTCGTGATATTTTCGCAGAAAATCGAAACGATCTAGATAATAATGACACCATAGAATAGTGAAATCGTTGATAGAAATATAGGCTACAAACGTATTTCAGATCGAGCTATCTTATACTGTCGATGTTTCCCTTGATAAAATACCGTATGGTTTATCATTTTATTTGCGCTGTAGTGGAAAACAACTGCGAACACAATAGCAGCCGGTAAAGTGCATATTCAACATCGTATTCGCATCGGTTTTAATTTATTAAAACCTGTACTGCAGTTGCTCTAATCTCTTACATCAATATAGTGATTGTATGTAGAAAACGATATTAAACATAGTAGTACAAGGAGTATTTTGATTTTGAAATCCAACCACGTATTACAGAGAGTTCAAGATCCGGAAAGAACAATAATTTCTGAATCAACACGGTCGGAAAATAATAATAAATCATCAATATCGACGATGAACATCGGAGAGATAATTATTTCGAATTCCGAAAAATGTAAATATATTTCTCTTATAAAAGAGCATTTACAGATTCACAGTTTCTAAGAAGCAAAAAAGATAAGCTTACTATTCACACTGTTACTCTAATTTATTCATGAAGCCATTCGTAAAATGCATTACGGTCGATATAAATGACGTCATTACGGAGTAGCATTTGGTAACCAAAAAGATTGCTCAAATGTAATTACAAGATCACGTTACCGAGCAACGTGTTAATGCGTTGCTACGTCCGTTCAGAAGTCGATGTCTTCATCCACCTTCCTTTCATCGAATTGAAAGCCGCGTATTAATTAAACAGCGCGTCGAAGTTTAACAATGATATATGCAAGGACTCGATGTTAGAACGTATGGTGCACTGCATTGATCCTAATAAATTTTGACGTCATCGATACAAAATTATTACGACACTTAAAAAAAAAAAAATAGCTAAATGCGCGAACGGGTAAACGACGAGAAACTAACGTCGGTTATTGAATGTATCGTAATTCGAAAGACGCGTACGAAATCTATTCACAGATCTATGATTCAAATTCGTGGCAAAAAATCGAGACAGCTAATCTGTTTTCCAACGACGAGTCGAGTATCGACTAGTATTTTGAACACAATCACGTCGTAAGATTTACACTCGTAAATCCGTAAGTTCACTCGAGAAACAGGAAGACAACAAGGTTTCGGCGAAAACGTTTCTGTTTGCCGAGAAATTATCTTGTCACCGGGAAACAGAAAACACCGTAGAACTCACTGTCAACGTAACACTTTCAGCAGGTCCGAAATAGATCACTCACGTCACGACATATCTCGACATAATGGTCTTCTAAAATCGAGTTGTAAATTTTCGTGGGCGTTTGCAAGGTTCCGATGGGCCCAGAAAGGATCAACTTACTCACCTTTTTGCGTAGGATCAACGATGACTTCCCTTTTAATTCGTACGGGTCCTCCTCATCTCGCTATTGCCTTCCGATTTCCAAAACGTCGAGATTTCCTCAAGTTACGTTAAAGACAGCCACGATCTTGCATGAACCGCAAGATGCTCGTAAGCGACGCGAGCCCGGCGTGTTTTCAGGAACTATTCTGGAAATCGGTTGCCGATCGTGGCACGTTCTCGAGAGGGAGTAAGTCCTGAGGACGCGGATGGCTCCTACTTATAAAGACTTGGCCAAGTCTTGGCTCTCCAATTGGCTTCCACGTGTGTGCTCAACGTCTACGTAAGTCGGTACCCTCCGCACGTGCGTACGTATGCGTGGCTGCGAGTGTACACAAGAAGGAATCGTGCCTTCGTCCAGGTGGAAGGGGGCACAAACCGTGTTCCGATCGTTACACGTTCAATGCTGTTACACATTACACGAAGCAAATACCGAATCGAGCACCGGATCGCGCCTTCGACCAAATTCACTCGTTTCTATGTTAGATCGCTTACCGTTGTGAGTTTTCATGATCTATGAACGATCGTCGGAATTTAAATGATCATCTGACTGACAGGAGGCTAATTTCCCTTTCATAACTGTAGTTCACAGAGCGGTTGTACATCGCTTAAAATAATTTGAAAATTGTTCTCCTTGCCATCTCTTTCTTCGTTTCTACATCTAATCCTTGTATATATTTTTCTAATTCCTTTTGGACAACTTAATAATTTTGTAGTAATTGTTTTGAAGTTAATCTTTATTACCGGTATCTGTCAGTTATCCGAATGAAGGTATGATTGATAGAAAAAGAATTTTTTTTTGACAGTTGTTTTTCGTATATTTACATACATTTCCTTCAAATAATTAGACGATTATCCTCCTTGTTATCAACATATTTGTATCTAATTTCTGTGTATATTTCTATACGTGTATTGAAAAGATCGTCTTAAAGTCAACTGTTATCACAGTATCTATTAGGTCTAGAGAAATTCTTTACTTCTGTCCATTTGGTCCATGCAAGAGAAACGTTTATAGTAGCGACTAATACTTTCAAGATCAATTTAAATTTGTAGATTGCATGACGAATGAAGATGTGGTTGAGCCGAGGTGAATATTTTTTCAGCAGCCGCAGTTCGTACAAAAGTTATATAAATTTGTAGAATTTGTAAAATGGAATAACAAATGAGAATGGATTTCCTTTGGCAGTTGTAGATCATAAAGAAATTGTAATCCTGTAGTATTCGTTCGAAAAAAACACACATAAGCAGATAATAGTTTCTATCGCAAATCATACGAATATAATGAGGCGTCGGTTTATCCTGGAGCAGCAAAGAGTCAATGGTCTCTATTGTATCGATCTTTGTACAATCCTACAGAACAGGTTTTGCTCGATGTTATATATTACGTCTAGTGAGTGGAGATTCCTTGAAGATACTTCAATTAAAACATTTCACGAAAGTATTCTCAATCCTTGTCAGGCAAGTATTCTTACAAACGCAAACAAATTATCTTTAGCATGCGTTTCCGCGAACTAATTCTATTTTCGCCGAAACTAGCAAGTTGCAGGTCCAAACGTGGAAATATGATAAATATGATAAGACGTATCGCGTTTGGTTTATTGTTAGCGCATAAAGTTTAATGGCATCATATTGAAATTTTATATCACTTTAGCCTAAATACGTCAGCATCATTAATAAGCTGGCATTCCTATTGTACCAAGAAACATGCTGCACGAATTCTGGCCAATTTAATGATATTAAACGCATAATTGTGCAGGTGATTATGACAGTGGCGTATGTCATATATTTCTCGTTCCGTTTGACGCACGAACTAAATTCTATTTAACGACACAACAACCAACTTAATCCAACGGTTCAATTTTTACTAATTTGTCAAGATGATTTCGGATTATTACAATGTAAATAGACGCGATATAAATGAACGATAAACTCATCGTTTTTACATTCTTAACTCGGACCACTTTCATAATCACCGGCTCAATTATGAACGCGAATAAATTTTATGAATCGGCGAAGTAACTTTCTCAGCCCCTGATCAAAACCTAAAAAATCTAAAAAATTTCACACGTAAGGTATACAACATTGCATTGTTACCTAGCATATATGTTACCTAAGGTATATAACTGACAGCTTGTAATTAGATTGTATACCGAAGAGTAAATAAAGTAAATAAATACTCTCAATCAATGACAAACTTAACATAACGTTTAATATAACTATGATTATTCTGTTTACTTTCAAAGATTTTGGAATGATTTTGCATAAACAGGACATAAACCTGTAATCTTGGAAGATCCCAACTGCCGTGTTCTTATTCTTAACGGTTCGAGAATTAGCACACTTTTCGCAGGTAAACTGTGTTTACAATGATAAGCGACGTGAAACGGAATCTGGTTATAAATCAATGACGACAAGGAGCAGAGTCTGTCTGATCGTTGCAAATCACGCTCGTACGTCCTTGCTGGGTTTGCACGACGGCGATGTTCCTCTTCTTTCTACGTTATAGCACATGCACGTTACTTTTACACATGACCGCCCGGCAACAGGTTCCGCTATTAATATCTCGATCGGCATACGATCTGAGGATAAAAGAAAAAAATAAGAAGAAGAAGACGGTCCCTGCCGAACATTGTCCTACAGATCGTCGTTTTGCGCCCGTGATCACCTGCAGATCGTCGAGACGAGAACAATATTTAATTTGTCAATGTCAGATAGTCGGCTGATAACAATGAAAAATTCTTATATACGACGAGACGTAAATAATTTTCTTGTTTTTGACGAAGATACATCACGTGAAAAGCCTTTTTCTCCGAAATTCTTCGTAATCAGATCAGATCCGATGCAATCACATTTGTTAGTCTTCGGTAATATTATGTTAGCGTTTCGTCATAACCTGTTCGTGCAAATTTATTCGAGGATTTTAAGGAATTGCGGAGAGTTGCAATGTACATTCATTTTCAGCTGAAATATGAACTTAGGAGGATGGTGCGACGCTGCTAGGAGCATTAGTTATTCTTGAAGATTTAATCGGTAAATATGATGTCGGAGAAAGTATATTTCACGCATTATGTAGTTTGTACTAGCAATAAATTGAGACACCCGCAACAGAGATCGTTTTCATAGCTGTTTTGGATTTTAATAGTACGTTTAGATCTTTATAAAATTAGTTAATGAAGGAAGAATGATATCTAGAATCAGGGTCGAGGAGAAGAATGCTTCGATAAAATGAAAAATTCCACAACGACAAGATAAAAAAATACCTAAATATGTGGAAGACAATCATAAGTACAAAGACAACGAAATAAAAATTTGATAAGTTCGCCGGTTGGTTTCCTGATTTTGATATTGCGTGATACGTTAATACAACCCGATCAAAAAGGGAAGATCTTTCCCAAACATTTAATAAATCCACGAGATTCTGGAACCAGCCAATGATATAATTAGTCTGAAGACCAAACCTAATAAACCATTCGGAGCGATTAAAATAGTCGCAAGAATATTGCAATATTGAAAATATCGAATTTGAAATGATCCAATTCCAAAGTCAATTAGTTCAATCTAAGATTTTTTCGTACTACCTTAGAAACTAATTAAATAGAAGTGCCTACTAGACCCTAGTCGATCTCTCTGGTTTCGAAGAAATACGAAGAAACCAGCTCAACACCCGAATATTCAATCTTCGCGATAAAAAGCTTGACTTTCTCAAACGCGCGCGATATGAAATTCACTGAACCATTATTGCTTAACGAAACACATATTCTAAACATCTCCGGCTCGTTCTTCCAGTGCAACGCGTGGTTTATTACCTCACCGATTGTTATCCAAATTATAGGTTTCAGAAGAAGGGTCAACGCTTCTTAACGAGCAGTTCGTCGAACTCTGAATCCGTAGATAAAATTGCTAGGCGACGAGAAGCCGGAAGGGAAGATAGAAGGAAGAAAGAAAGGAAGAAAGAGAGGGACGTATCGATCGCAATTTTCGGTGAAAAGGCTTGCATTCCGTCGCGTTTGCTCGGCAGGGTCAGGGGCCGTCGATTATCAGCAATTATCAGCGATTGTTCTCGCGTGTTCGTTCCACGCGAATTCCGGAATAACGAAGCGGCCCGTGGGAATTTCGCCGTGCATTCGCCGTTTCCTTCTTTTTCCTTCCACCGTGCAAGGATGCTCGTGGACAACAACGCCTTGTCGGTGGAGAAACGATAGAAGCATTGAACTTACTGGTTAGAGAAACCTCGAGGGACCAACGCGCAGTATAACATAGGTTTCTGCTGCTTGGTGGTAACAGTATAACATAATAAATGTACTGTGGTAAACGGAACCCTTAACTGAAGATCCTCGTTCCTTGCGTCGTTGTTATTTTGAAGCAACAGGGCTGCTGTAAACGTCTCCTGGTAATATGCGATTATGGGATTGCGTGCGAGAGACGTACGCGTAACTTTAATCTGCTCTCAGTTTTATTACCTGGTCATTTAATTCGATGGATAGATATCGAGAAATATCAAATGTTTGGAAGAGGACTCGCGTGGATTTTCGAGGCAGTAACTTTCTTTTTTTAATGGTTTTCATAACGGAATTAGGTAACGGGATGTTTTCAAATATCGCGAGGCACATTAATTTTGCCACGTATTTCACGGAGCGAACGTTTGTCGATCGATAGAGAACGAAGTTCTTTGAGGATGCTGGCCTTTTCGAATGCAAACGATTCCGTAGGAGTTAGCTGTTAATTGTATCAGCGTGTTAAAGGAGCGAGCGAAGAACAGAATGGCCTGCGGCGTGGAAACACGAGTAGAAAACTAGGTAGTAGAATACGGTTGCAATGGGCAGACACAGAGGGTCGGCGCATCAGCGTGCATACAGAAAATATACGATCGCAGCGAAAGGAAGTACAATGGACCGTATTTCAGGTCTCTGTAACCATAAATGTTCGAAAGGAAAAATCTGCGCGACTGTGTCCGAGCGATTATAGCTGTCGTTTTACGTTGGATTCCAGTAAGGGAGGAGGCGATTCATTCCACGGAAAAGTCTGTGAATTA